CAGATCAAAACAACACCATCCCTGCCACTGTTATATGCAAGCTACACACCCTGGTATCACGACAAAATTTGACCTCAGAGATTGTCAGAGATTGGTTTGCCTTTGAGAATCACCATCTAGCTCCCGCAGCATATCACAAAATACCTGTGTGAGCCCCTCATCCTCCCTTTTTTTGGTATCATTACAATTTTTTCTGCTCACACTGACAGATACTCTCATTTATTTCATGTAATAGCTAAAGTCCATTTCTTTCTGCACATAATTACTCTAAAACCCTCTCACTCCTGTTGTCCTACTTCTGCACTGGTTGCTACTCACGCTGCTCCAAGCACGCGGGTTCAGCTTCTCCTGTCAACTAACACACAGCAAAGAGTCTGCAAGTGGGCAAGTACTTCTTCCATTTGTGGAAAGTGCCAACTCTTAGGTCTCATTTTAAAGAATCTGGTTTTAAGATACATGGTTTAACTCCCATTTTCAGTACTAGTCACCAGCCATTGGCCTGACCTGACAAAATAAGTGTTTCCTCCTGATATTTTTCCTGTTTAACCATATTGTTTCAGATTTATCTGAAATAGTCCTTTAGTAGTCAGGATGCATTTCTGCCTAGAATCCATCCTTTTCATCTAGACAGTAACTCCGCATTTCAGGTCTTCAGATCCTTTCAGCTGTAAGAACAGCACAAAACCTTTTAACTAATTTGATGATTTAATCACATAGTCATATTTTTAATTAATTCCTCCAACCTTCGCCAGTGATATGTCTGTGATGGGTTTAGACTCTCTCTTAGAGGCATGGAACAATCCATTTCTTGCTGAATTAAATGCACAGTGGGCCTGTGCTGTTTCGCAGAGCAGCAGACACACATCACAAACTGAAACATACACATTCTTCACAGGAAGATTCAATTTTTTGTCCAACAAATTTAGAAGTAGGCATACAAAAATCACCATATGTAATTTAAAATTGCAAAGATATTCTTATCTGTTTTGTTTAAATATAAGTAATAAAGCCAACGGGTATTACTGAATCTGAATAATACAAAGCAGCACGTTTTAATCAAACGTTTACTTTCAACACAACTGAAGCAGCATTAAGCACTATCTTTAATCTGGTTTCCTCTGAAATTTAAATTTACCAATTTACCTCTTCAAAATTCATGTTATATCAGCAAGTTACACTTCCTACATACAAATGTAAAACTAAACTTATCTAAAGTCTAAGGCAAATCAAATGAAAAAAAGTCTTGTAAAGCATTGCAATGGCCCATCTGAGAACTAGCTAGAATGTTGTTGAAAGTGGACTTTTAATTGCAGGTAAAGGCAAGAATCAACATGTAATATCAGCCAGTACAAAGCAGACATACAATATAGAGAAATTGCATTGCTCTCATTTTTTTTGAGAGATGAAATTTAAGACAGTACTCACCAATTCTTTCCTAAGTTGAATAAAAAACTGTTTGCACTTAAAAGAAATTTTTACAATCTTCAACCTAAATGAAAAATAAAATCACAACATTTAAACACTTAGTATACTGAATCATGGTTAAAGGCTTCAATACACCTACTGAAAACATACTTCCTAAAGCTAACATTTCATTTCCATGGAACTGCCACATACAAAAATATCAACAATTTTATAAAATAGCGCATATAATTTGAAATTTATGAGTCATATATTTATCTATCATATTCACTTGTTTCCATCCTAAATCCAAGGTAGTTCCTAATTTAAATATCTTTTCGCCCTTCCAAAGTCCAAAGAGCTATTCTATCCTGGGGTCATTCCAACTAGGTGTTCTCTCTTCTGAGATCGCTTTCATTATCCCTTAGAATACGAAAAAATAATTTCACCTGACTCCTGAAACACATTCTTTCTCTATGTTCTTACATGTCTTTAAACGTAACTAGAACTGGATTTCGTGAAATAGCTAAGACATTAAGTACAGAGATAAGGACTTGCGATCTGGGTATTGATAAACTTAATAAACAAAACAACAAGAAAAAAATCATCACACTATGAGGAGAAAATGTTTTTAAAATATCTCATGACAAGGAAAAACCAGCCCACAGATCAGTTCGTCTATAAAGATACAAGATGCTGACAGTACCTCCAGACCATTTTGGATGGTCACTCAGAAAAGACAGACCATATTTCCAACACAATCTAATTACACACTTCTTCAAAGAAACACAATACTAGCATAATGCACATACTTTACTAAAAATACAGGAGTATTATATTGGTCAAGAATAAAAGCAAGATTATAACTGTAACAAGAAAAAACATAACTTCTGTGACTTTGAAAAGGAACAACTGATAAGATAGCACAGAACTGCAGAACACTCAATTCAAATGCTATCTCACTCTAAGGGGATTTTGCTGACAATTGTCATGAAACTCGGAGCAAAAGAACTAGATCACGCAGTTAACTTGTGGTGAAATTACACAGCAGACTCTTCAGGGGTCACAATCGACTTTTTACGCAGCATGTTCATACAGAGCACCCTTCCTAGTCTGAACTGTCATCTTTCTTAACAAATCATTACTACTCAAGAACTCTCAAGGACTCGAAACTACAAAACGGGCTACAGCTTATCTACTGAAATCAAATTATTCCACTGGCAGTGAAGTAATTTTCTTAACACCGCCTGTGACAAACAATTACTTAAGAATAATTAAAAATGGGTCCTAAATTTGATGGATAGGATGGACATTACTGATTATAGCAGTTTGACGGTGGGAAAACAACAGAAGAAACTTTTATCAGACTACTTAGGCTGCAGCTAACCAGAAGTACATTAGGAGTAATTTTCTAAACTTCTGGGGTACAGGGCCATTAAAGGAACATTTTAATATACACTTTTTCTAAAGATTGAACTGCATGCACTCTACAACATACCAAATTTGCTTAGCATGCCAGCAGAAAACTTGAAAATAAATCAAAGTTATTCCATTTATAAAAGCATTCTACTACCTTCAATCTATTTTTTCCCTTTTCTGCTAAAGAAATTACTGCCTTCGGTAATTGTTACAGACTCAAGGAGAATGATAAGGACGAAAGCTATACACACTGTTTTTTAATCTCACCCCCCCAATTTAGGCAGAGTGAGATTAGCTGCCTTTTAAGCCTGAAACCATTTGGAACAGACTCAAAACTGTAACATTAGCCAATAAGGTCTACCTCAACCCATAAGTTAAAATACAAAGAAATGATTCGGCAAAACTAAATCTCAGCTATTTTCAAAAAAATACAGCAGGTAAGAGAGACTTGATATGCACTGCTAACACCTTTATTGTTAAATAAGGATATCCATACTCGGCCAAAGCAAAAGGCATGTCTGCCTACAGTTCCTTTCTCTGCCCGTCGGCAACAGTGCATATCCAAGGAAAAGGGTAGAACAGGCAGGCATTGATAGTATTTTCCTGGTATCATTGTCCAGTCTCCAGTCACCTCGGATATCCTACATCATAAGATACATCTTTCTAAACTAGGAGATACTTAAAAGTCCTAGTCTAAAGTCAGGATTGTAGTCAAACATGTGGAAAGAATCTCATGATATTGAGTCCTGCTTCTCACCTCCCTAACTCCCTGCTGATGAAGGAGGACACAAGCAATTCAGCAAATTTTTTGACCAAGATTTCCTTGACAGAGGTTCTAGACCCGTCAGCTAGGGAAGATGCTCTTGGAAGCACACCTCACAAACAAGGAAGGATTGTCCAGAGTTATCAGTCAAAGACAAACTTGCCTCCAAGCAGCTTTGAGATGGTGAAGCTAAAGATCCTCAGGAAAGTGAGGAGCATAGTAAACAGCATACTAAACTACCTTGGAGTTCATGAGAAGAAACTCCAGCTTCCTCAGAGCTCTGGCAGGCAAAATCCCTCGCAAGCTGTCTTCTGGAGTACAGGAGCTCAGAAGAGGTGGCCAATCTTCAAGGCCAATCAATCCATTACAATCCTGATGTGCTAGAAAGCACACAAGCACAGCAAGAGGCCAACTCTGATGAGCTCAAACCTCCTTACTGAGCTCAAACACAAAGGGAAGCAGCATCAGATAACCGAGTAGGAACTCAGAAGTACTACCCAGGCATTCAGTGACAAAACTTGGAAATCCAAAGCACAACTGCAGTTGCAGCTGACCATAGATGTAAAAAGCAACAAAAGCTTTCTGGGGTCCATCAACCGCAAGAGAGAGGCAAAAGAAAGCTTGTCTCCACTGCTGACCAGGTGATCTTGTAGCAAAGGAAAGACAGAGGCACACCAGGCTCTTCTCCTTTGGACTTCAAGGAGAAGATCTACTGCCTGGATTCCCAGGTCTTTGTGCCTGGTAGCACAGTTTCGTGAGAAGAGGAATTACACACAATACAAGAAGATCAAGTTAGGACACACTGGCTAATGGCTGGTCTCCTTTGTTTTGCTTTATTCCTCTCGTCTCCCTCCTGTTTCATTTCTCCTCATGATCACAAGGTTCATAATACGCAATTTAGATACAACATCAAATTAGGAGTGAGAGGGCAAAGACATTTTACATGATTCTTCTCTGAGCAATACAGTTAAACCTTTATTTCTTCCTACGTACAGGCCTATCTACCCTCTTGTCTCAAAACTCAGCTCAGGAGCACTGAAAAAAGGTATCTAAACAGCCACTGTAACTGTACAGCACTGGGAAGACATCACATAGCTACAGTTGCACAGGCAGAAGAACAAGTGAAAGCAAACTATCACTACTGGTGTCACCAGAGCAGCTACATGAGCACAGATAAAAAGGAAAGGCAATAAGTCTACTATTGAGCTATATCGTGAGAAGTGACATTTCAGATCCTTACTCATAGGAGAAGAAAACCTGTAATAGGACAAAACAGAGGGGTGGTTCTGGGTTTTTTGTAAAGACCAATTATGCTGGTACTATAGTCTTCACAGGAAGAAATTAATATCCCTGATGTCAGCTGATATGGTTGAATACAAAGAAGAACTGTTTAGGCAATTACACACACATAAAAACCACACTAAGAATTTAGATCAGCATCCCTGGCATGCAAACAATATGAAGTAGAGCTCACAGAAACCTCTAGATTCCAGTAGGAATATGCAGCTTAATTACGACTTACATTGTACACACTCAGTAATCTACCAGTGTGTTTTATAGAACCTATTTCTACTATTACTGTTTTCGCAAAAAGAACAGCAGTAAAAGCAGCCTGAATGGAAACCTTCCTGATTATTACTGCACTGCATTCATAAAGCAGCCTTAACCCTTTGAAGCTCTTAATGCTTCAAACCTCTTAGGAGATGAAGGATATCTTTCTCAAAATGTGTCACTATTATAAAGGCAGGTTTGACTGACTAGTACAGTAGTTCCAGACTTACAATTGCAAGATCCAGTCTTAATTTACCCAACTAACCATGGAGACTCAAAATTTACATGCTCTGTAATTGCCCCAGGCTTGCTTTTCTTTGAATGCCTACAGGAAAAATGTTTAACACCTTCAACTTTTTCTGGCTGTGGGTAACATTTATGACATAGCTTTTTTATTTTCCCCCTCTGAAAATCTACTAAAATTTGACCATTCATGCTGCTGCTCAACATGCTAAACCACAGAATACATAACATCTTACAACAAAACGTGAGGCTAAGTTTAGCCTCAGAAAAAAAAACCCAAACTTGAAGGTTTCAGAAATTCCTCAGGTTGCAGGAAAGCTCAAAACTGTGATTAACATCTTGAATCTCTGCAAGGACAATTACACACTAAACGAAAACAAGTCACTGACTATAGGTAATAGATCTTACCCTGTGCTAACAGAAAATAACAAAAAAACCCAAGGATTTCAACTGCTCGTATTAGTTTGAATTCAGTGAAAAGGTTTTTTCTGGTTTCAGTTGCAGTAATTATAGAATCACAGAATACGCAGGGTTGGAAGGGACCTTTAGAGGTCATCTAGTTCAAACCCCCACGGTGAGCAGGAACATCTTTAATTTCTGTTTCCAAGATGACAGACCAGCCAAGAGTTTTAAAGAAATCCAGGGTTGCACTGCCCAAGCACACACTCGTAACAAATGAAAATGCAAAACTTCTCATCATTTTTATCAAACGAACAGCTTTTGTGCCTGGTAAACCAACGTCTATTATGATAATTCTATATAGCTGACTTCGCCCCCTCATAGTGCTGTTATAGCGTACTTAACAACATGTATAATAAGCTAAGACTGTCAAAGTAGATTCCAAGCAGGTAAAGGAAACCAAGAGAAAGTTATTTCTAAGAGAGTTAAAAAAAAGCATTGGGGAGGGTAATATAACTTAGAGAAGTTATAGGGCTCTGTAGAAGCATAGTGCAGAACAGGATTTCTCTTAAAGAATTCCACTTCTCAGACAAATAAATAAGGACAGGATCCCAATTTAAAAAGACTGATAACTAGAGTAACATATTTAAAGAAGATGTTTACAGAACAGCTTTAAAAACTGTTTTAATTAAAAGAGGAGAAATCAATGACAGCATTTTCTGCAATAAATGCACTTTTTTGATCCTCATAATGAAAATGGTTATCTATGGATGAAGAGATGACAATATTCTGAATGCTCCACCTCAGCTATCCTCAAATGCCCTACCTACATCTTATTTAACACACAAAGCACAATTAAGTTACGTGTGACAAAACACTTCTCCAGGTCAATACTTTCATGTCCAGTCAACTCTTTAAAGACTGTGATCTAGATCATAACTCTGGCCCTGGCTATCTAACTAAACATAACGGATGCTTACAAACTCCCAAAGAAAAAGAAAAAAGTATTAGATTTCATTACAGTTTGCACCATAATCATTTACCAGCACAGCATGCAGACTAGCACAAAATCCCATCATAAAATTACCCACAGCACAGCCTGAAGTCAATCATTTCAACTTGATATGCTACAACTAAGTAGCTTTTCTAAAGCATGTGACACTGGTACTGGTAAAAATCTGTTCTGAAATACCAAAGAAAAGTATTAGCTTAAACAGTTGTTCTTACCACTGAAAGGTGTTGATTCGTACTCTGTTCTTAAAAATTAGTATTCCACCTGACATCACTCCAATCATTATTTCATTGTTACTCTGATCCTTTAAACAAAGAGAGAAAATTACTTGAAGAACAATATAAATATCTTTGAAATCTCATATATATTCATTCTCATCTCTCTCAATACACAATACCATAGTAAAGAGATCTCAATTAACATGGAAAAAAATGTATTTTAATATGGCAAGTAAGAATTAAATTATTCCTGTTTAGGACAAGCCCAAATGTTTCATCCAAGTCTATAGCCTCTTTGTAACCTACCACAGAATTTTAATTTCTAAAGTTACATCTTCTGTCTTCCACCAACTTTAAAAAAAATACGCAATATTCTAGCAGTTTTTTACAAATAACAGCACCTACAGATTAGCTGGACATTTCCTACACTAAAAGCAGCCAGCAACTGAAATTTTTACCTGAAATAAAACTGCATTCTCAGAAAACAGAGATATTCTAAACCAAGCAATGTTGTAAGCATATTTAAATAGCACCTTTTTCCCGAAACTTCTTTACACTCTAATCAAACCCTGCTATAGATCTCTCAGTACGTGTGCAACAACAGCAGGATACAGACAGCAGTGATGTGGGGTATATTTCAAATTCGATCATAAACTTCTCTAACCTTAGGGAGCAAGCCAAGAAAATTTAAAAAACCAGAAGTATCTTAATTACAAAAAATAATTAGAGGCTTTGCAGAAATGGTAGCACTGTTTGACAGTTTGAGTCAAGATCTCGAGCTACATGCTTCACCAGATAAAACTGACACTGCATCAAATTATAGTACGGTTCACTTTACATCAGCAGTTCATATTATTTAATAAAAATGATTTATAATTCAGTTCTCTTCTGAACCAAATTAAACCTTTTTCAAAGCTGACAGATCTTTAACTATCAAAGCCCATCCAAGAAGTACATTTTTCTTATTCACTGGTAGCCAACTGAACTGCCATTCAGCCAACAAGGCTCAGCCTGAATAACACACATATAACTAATCCCAAATTTAAGCACAGAAACGCCTTCACTAGAGTGAAAGAGTGGATACTGAAACTGGTAAATCACAGTCAGGCACCTAACAAGATAATATTACTTTTTTCTTTCCTCTTGTAAGCTACGCCAGGAAGGCTCACTAAAAATAAATACTTGTTTTCCCATAAATCTCAGAGGAATCCATTTTTACATCATAATACTAGTTCATCCAAACTTACCCTTGCATAGTGCAATTCAACTCCATAAAGTTCTAAGGTACGTGCTGTATTGAGATAATTAAACTCTGCTTCCGCAGGAGACAACCCTCTGAAAGAAAGACGCTAAATCAGAAATATCCTAAAATAAGCCCCCCCACACATCAGGCTACCTAGTGGGTTCAAACAGAAAATCCGCATTCATTTTACTACTTCTGCCCCCACCCTGAAATCTGAATTTCCTTTCTCACCATAAACAAATTGTACCTCAGAAATTATAACAGAAAAAAACTTGTGCTTCCACATAAAGTCTCATCAAGAGTCCGCAACACAGCTTGCACGCGCATATGTTTTACTTCTATTGCACCCTATCCTTTAAACGTCAGTGGAGTTCTAGAACCTGGAAATTACCTTTGCAGTGCTGTATTTTGTATTGATAACAGCAATTTCTCTCCAAGGCTCACCCTTAAAGTTTAAATTACCACTTCAATCTCTTTATCCTACCTCACAGTATTTGCTAAGTCACTGACTGAAATGTAACATAATATTCAGTAGTTTCTAAAGCCAACAACATACTCCAATTAAGCAAATGTTGTTTGTAAACATAACTGTCATTTTGTCAAATTTAACCATAACAAAAAGCACTTTAGTTCTAAAATACCACGGAACCATCACTGGGAAAGTACCACAATGCTACACACTGAAAAAAAAAATATTTTCCATTGCTTCATCGCCTTTTCCTCTTTAGTAAAAGGTCAAACATGCACACAGGAAAGAGCAGATATTGAAGAAAAGGTCTTTTTCACTTCTAAAGTAACTTGTTTACTGGTGAGAGCACCATGAAAACAAAGCCTTTATGCACAGAGCATACTCAAAGACTGGAAAATACTCTTAAAGAAATTATATCCTGCTCAGTTAATATCCTATGTAATATATATAAATATTCTTTTAAGTGTACCTTTATGTTAATTTTTCACTTATTTTCCCTGTAATTCTGTCATATATATTTCTATGCGTGCAGAGTATCAATGGTACTTATTATACAGATAATCTAGAAAGAAAAAATCACATTAAACATACTCTTAAGAAAAAACAAAACCAAAACACAGCCAAAACCCCAGAAACTTTTAAGAGAAAATACTCATTTTTTTAATATAATAGCACAGCACCAGCAGTCAGAATTTGACAAAGTCAGTCAGTATCTTCTGCTGTAAATCCTTACATGTGCTGCTGATGTAATTTTGCTATTTCTTTTTCAAAGTCTTGAGGCTGGCTAGGGATGAAAGAATAGTCTGAGAGGTAGCCTGGCAAGTTTTCTGAATGGTTGTAGTCTCCCAGCTCGGCTAAAATATTAAAAAGAGAGGTTATTGTTTATCACTGATGTACTTGGCACTGTGCAATGCCCCCAAATTCACAAGAATCTGCTCCCACACACTTTATGATTTACAGCAAACAAAAATAGAGAAAATACTTGAACTCCCCTTTTCCCTTTTAAATAAACAGTCATATTCCCAGTGAACATCACTGAGACCATTTAAAGACAGGTTTGAGTAGGTACTTATGAAGGAAGTTTTTAATGTGTTTACTTCTTAATACACAAATCAATTCACAAATGCTGTCAATGGCTAGCACTAAATAAAATACTTCAAGGTATTTGATTTTTTTATTTTACATTTGCTTGCTTTCACAACAAACATATTTTTAATACTAAAACTGTTATTTCTTCATTAAGATCCGCAAAAACCACCAATTCATTCTGTACTAAGATATATTTTGAAGCATTAGAAAAATATTTTTTTGCACATTCACTTGTATGTATGAAAAAACGTAGGCATACATACACCTACATTGAAACTACTTTACTTAAAAGTACTAAAAAGTGCATTTACATAATTTCTAACACTTTCTTAAAATCATAACAATTAAATGAAAATCACAGTAATTGTCAGAATAAAAAAGAAAAGGTACAAACAACAACATACAGGCTTTGATGCCTTCTAACTATAATTAAAAAAACTCAGCTTTAAATATCTGTGATCCATGTAACAAATCTACAGTGATAGTTAAGGAACACAACAGCTGAAAGCTGGAAACTTCACGGCAACGCAGCACGACGTGGGGTCCCGGGCAGGCCCACCGGCACTTTTATGGGTCGTGGAAGAACGGACAAGAGGGATGAGGGCACCTGCGCAGGAGGCGGATAAGCGAGGGACAGGAAGGTAGGAAAGAAGTCTGGGCCACTTGTATTGTCAGATCCCATTTTAAATAATTTTAAAATTGGAAAACAGGACCAGGTTCCATAAGAGTGCATGCCTTGCTAAAATCCCCTACAGAGAACACAGCACGGTCCAACATCTATGTCTGCTTTTTACTTAAATATCTAAAGAATCCCAAAAGCTAAAGCCAGAGAATTTAGTAACAGACATGCACAGAGAACTCCTAGACGGAGTAAAGACCACTCTACAGCAGGATCTCTTATCTAAACGTGACTACACTGCACTGCACTACACATCCACCACTTCTACAATATTCAAGAAATACTGCATTCTTAAAAGCTTAAAATGTTATAAACTTTTCACAGTGCCTGCTTCATTATCAAATGCTTAATCTCTTCTAAAACAAATCCCCACAGTATGACAGCACTTGCCCTACATATCTATCTACAAGTCACTGGAGTTTGGAAGTTTTGTCAAGAGAAATTGCTCTATTGATTGATCCAGAAAAAGCTGACCACTTATCAAAACTATGGATAAAATAGATAAAACTATAGTTTTTACCCCCTAAAAGATTAGGTAGATTTCTCCGGTAGGTAAAAATTATATGTAGTACTAAATGTAGATATAAGTTTCCTTAATGGCAGAAAAACACATGAACACAGACGGATATATCAGGATTGCTTAAAAACTATTTCTGATAAGCACAAATGTCAAGATCTAAGAGCTGAGCAGCCTCTTGGCTGGTTGCTGTTGTTTCTTCTCTCCACTGAATAAAAAGTTTACAAAGGAAAGAAAATGAGGAGAGACGAAGAGGACTGAATATCAGTGTTCAAGACTTATCTACTCACTGGATGGCTTAAAATTGACAACACGGGTATTGAATTTTTTGGCCAGGTACGACCAAAATTCCCTTTTCCACATCTATTTGGAGATTCACTGTATGGTATGTTAAAAGTAAGTTCGTCTAAAAAATGTTTTGGTTAATTAAAAAAAAAAAATCAACCCCACACTTCACAATAAAGAGAAACACGAGAGGGTTATTTTGGGGCTTTTTAACTGAATGAGCTTAAAGAATGAAAGCAGAGAGTGTCAGCAGTATTTTTTCCATTTCTAACTCGGCAAAACACTTGGGGGATAAAAAACAACCAACCATATTTCCTTCTTCATGAGAAAAGAAGGATCATGTCCACAAACATCACAATATAATGTTACAAACGACTACATTCCTTAGAAACTAATCAATATCACTTTTTATGTATTTCAGTACCAGCATGTACATAAATACTGATTATACTTACATTGAACAGCATAGGAAGCCAGAAGAGCAGCGGTATTATGAGGACAGGGCAATCTGTTTTGTTTTGTTTTTAAAATGAGAGATAAATAAAATTACACATTGCATATGAAATACTGCCATTTTGAAAAGTCTAATCTTTCATAGTCCATGTACAATTGGACAGATAATTATTAGAAACATTTGTACTTGTATAAACAGTAATTTATATTTAAATATATTTTTCAGGTAAATCACCTCACCAGTAACTTTTTGTCAACCAAAGTTGAATTCAATGTTTAAACACAATGAAAATGTCTTACCTTCCAGTAAGAATGTCCTGTTTAATTTGCAAAAAATACTGGTACCTTATTTAAAGAAAAAAATAAAAAGCACTATAATTAAAAATGAAAACATTATAAAAAATTTCATCAATTCAATGCATTTTACTTCTAGTGTAAAACTAAAATTTTAGATTTTGCATGCTATTTTCCTATAGAAAAGTGATTAAACTGTGATTAGTAAAATAATAAAACTTCCTAAATTAGTTACAGGCTATGAAGTTACACATTATATTTCAGTAAAGGGCTGCAAATTTCACATTCTATCTGCATTATTTTCCAGTATTTATGTTGAATTTAAAGTTTAAAAAAAAGGAAAAAAGTGCCTTCACAATGAATGAGTGTGAATAGAACTATTAAATATGGCAACCAAAAGTTGAAGTTTGTACCTCTGACAGAGGTACCTTAATGACTCATACTCCAGGTACATAAAATTAACTTATTCTCATTGAGTATTTGAAATTACTCTGTTTTCATTTAAATTAAAATAATTACTCCTAGTATTTTGGAACTACATTCTTAAAAAGTTGTGGATTCTGCTATGTCAAACACCTTCCCACTAACCTCCCTTGAACTTTTGATGTTTTCTGTAATTATGATGTGAGAAAAACTGGTTTTAGAAATTCATCTAGTCTTCCCATGTCCACTCGTTCAAGTCAAGAAGGAGATGAAAACACCAAAAGAAACTAAAACACGGACTTTTCCCCACCAAATAGTGGCAGCAGAAACACTTAAAAATCCCAACAAACCTGAAAATGCAAACAGATTTCCCCCTAAATTACTTCCTTCATTTCTCCAACAAAACCCAAATATTTTGTTGAAGTCTCAGAACGAAGCTTTCCCTCATTCCATTTAGTCCCTTCACATTTCCCTCAAAGGTTTTAGACAATTCCAAAGGAATTGTCCGAAGTTTCTTATACCAAGTAGCAAATCACACCTGCTGTACCCCTCCTGCTGACACACAAACCCACGGGTGGTAACAGACGAGACTTACTGAAAGGCAGGATATTAGCACAAGCTTAAACCTTTGGCAAAATCCCCTTTTAAGAGAGAAAAAAGCAGCTGGAGAGGTTAGACTCTAACACCTTTTTTTGTAAAAAAAAAAAAAAAGTTTCCCGGAATGGG